AGTCAATACCCTGGCGCGACGAGTTCAAGACAATCTTCTTAGATCAAGAGCATACTCGACGAGTTGTTCATACAACTCGGCGAGTCACAGCATAGAGTGTTTTTCGGATGAAGGTGAACTCGACGAGTTGTTCATACAACTCGGCGAGTAGGGTGCATGACTATTAATACTTGGGTATAGAGAAAAGGACTTGGCGAGTCGGCAAGCCAACTCGGCGAGTGTGGTCAAGTGGCAGTTGACTATGACTTAACTCATGGCTTGTTAAGGGTAAATGGGCAATTTACCCTGATGGCGGTTAGCAGTATTTGACTAAGTGTTTGGTGGGAATTACAGCCGGAGGATTTCCGGAGCAGCAACAGCAACAGACAGACTATTCCCACACAGATCAGCAACAACTACGAGGTTAGTTACCTTCCAGTAGCGGTGGGTCTAAGGCCACAATGTCGGCCCACCAGTAGGAGATGTATGTTAGATGATTGTCTTTGTGATATCATCTAGGTTTGCTACTACCTGATATGTTATATGCTAGCATGATATGTTATATGTGATAGTAGTAGAGTTCGGTTGTTAAGACCGAAGGGTAGTCAGACACCCCAGATACGTTTGACAGTATGTGATTATATGTTTGCATGCTGGCTTGTTATGTTATATGCGATAGAGGTAGTAGGAGGGGACCAATCCCCGAGTTCGGTTGCTAGGACCGAAGGGTAGTTCAGGCACCCCATATATGTCTGATAATATGTTATGTTATGATATATGTGATAGTAGTAGTAAGGGGTGAAATAGTCCCCGAGGTTCGGTCGACAGGACTGAAGGGTAGTCAGGACCCCAGAATGGCTTGACATGGGTAGTTAGCACCCCATAATGGCTTGACACGGGTAGGTCGACACCCCAGAATGGCCGTACCGGGTAGGTCAGGCACCCCAAAAATGCCTGGCAATATGTACGATTTGTGATTGTATGGTATATGGTATGATGGGGGAACTCACTAAGCTTCGTGCTTACAATTTTCAGTTTTGGTTTCAGGTACCTCTTCTTCGAAGGGGAAGGAGCTGGCGCGGTAGCGGCCCATCACACACATGCTTCGTATTTCGCATCATGAGAACTTCCTGTGGATTTGTACTTTGACATTATTATGTTTTATGAAATGTTTTCCCGACATGTGATATCTTTATAAAATGTTATGATCAGTAAACGTTTTAATTCGAATGTTTTGCTAAGTGTATGTTTTCAAAAATGAAATTTTTGGCTCGTATTTTTGGGGCGTTACACGTCGAGTCAAGGGTCAACTCTCCGAGTTCCTTGTTATTTTTGGCTCTTTTCTTTGTTCTTTGATTCCCAAACTCCCAATAGCCATTCCAACTTCCTTTTGCTTCCAAGCACTCCTTTTGAACTGAAAATATAATTCAAACATGATTAAGCACATTTTGTTCCATAATTGCAATAAATTATCCAAAAAGTATTAATAATCTATACAAAATATATGACTAAATATGCACATATCAACGCCCCGCGTTCATAGGTTGGCCCCGGATTGGCCACGTCGATGCTGACTCAACCGAATAAGAGATAAGACTGGAACCCCGCTCCTATGCACAACGCTTGAGGGCCAAACCCCTCCTATAAATAGAAGTCGAGTCCAACTGATTTGGTTGCTTAATTTATTTCCTCTCACTCCATATTGCCTCATTTTACATGAAAGTTATACCCCTGAAGCCCCGGTATCATCCCGAGACCCGAAAAGCAAGTCCCGAAACTTCGAAGATCCCGAGAAGAAAAGAGTTTCGAGCCGAAACTCTGCCGGCGTGAAACCCAATTTTGAGAAGATATCCCGGTTCCATCGGAGAATATTACTATAAAGAGCCGTAGTGCTATCCGAGCATCGTCTTATAAAGTGAGTGTGTAGTTACTTTCTTCTACCGCATATATATGAAGTATTTGCTATGAAATACGTGTTATGTGTTTATATGTTGTTTGTTTACTTGAGATGGTTGTTGAATGAATGTTTTATACAGGTTGATAATGATTTAAGCCATATATGTGATTTATATCTACAAAAATGTTGGGTAGAACATGGGTAGATGAAATAGCTGGTGTGTGATGAAAGATGCGTTTGAGGATGAGACGAAAGATGATATAGATCATGAGATGAGGGTGACAAGTAAAAAATGAGGGAAACCTTTACCCAAACGATGGCCCCCGTCATTCAGCAGAGTATGGATGACAACCACAGACTATTCTGGACAGTCTGGTGGAACACTAGCAAGCTCACAACTTGTAGGTGTTGTGGACTTGATGTTCACCGGTGTACTCTAAAAACCCTGGTAGCTATAGATTTAGGGTCTCATAATAAAATGATGGTAGCTATGGATTTAGTACAATGTAGATGAACCTTGGTAGCTATGGATTCAGTACAGTGTAGATAAACCTTGGTAGCTATGGATTTAGTATTGTATAGATGAACCTTGGTAGATATGGATTTAGTACTGCATAGATGAACCTTGTCAGCTATGGATTTAGTGTTTGTTATAGGAACCTCAAGCAGTAATGGACTTTGTGTCAATTCCTAAGGTCAATCCTTATGAACGAATGAAGGAAGGATAGTCGATTCTTAGGGTAAAACCTTAAGAAAAAAAGAAGATAATGGGGATGGGTAATTAGGTTGATTGTTTGATGATTGAATATAATAATTATATTATCGTGGGTTGAAAATCCTATATGCTCACCAGGCTCCCAAGCCTGACCCACTCAGTTTTCTTTACATTACAGACAATGGCACAAGAGTATAAGTTGGTGGACTTGACGAGAGATTTTGGATTATAGACCAGTAGTTATAAATAACTGTTGTAAGGTCTATTTTATATTGTTTATGCTTTTGGTTTGTAACGGAACATGACATCCCGAGATTTTGTTATTTAATGAAAATACATTTCTTTAAAAAAATGTTTTGATAAATTCTTATCATATTTTGTTTTGGAAACAAATTCCGCAACACTTTTATGTGAAAATATTACTTTGATTTTCAAACAAAGCATAAACAAAACCGGTCTTTTATAACCGTGAAATTGGGGATGTCACAGTTGGTATCAGAGCATTAGTTTAAGCGAACTAGGAATCTGTAGAAATTTTCTAGACTTAAACTTAGAATGCTAAGTAATGATCGTAAGGAGTGTGTCTAGAATATTTTAAGTAATACACCTAAAATGACACGAGCACTAGCTTGTTTTAGGGAAAATGCCTAACATGCTTTTATGTTATAAATGTTTTGTGTTATAGCTATAATGATGCTACTATTTGTTCGGATCTATGGTCGGTTGCCGACCGGATCTGGAAATTTTATGTGTTCAGATTTCTAAATGTTTAATTATAGTATTAGAACTGGTATGTAACTTTTCAGAGTAATAAGGATGATTACACGTCTAAATCTTCCCTATCTATATTTTCATCACGATGTAATGAAAGCATGCTTTTGTGAAAATAACGTCATGGTGAAAACTCATAGAGAGTTGAGTAAATGGAGGAAATGAAAAAGGCTTATGATAGTGAATGCCACCTATCGGAAGATATCATAAGAGTGGTGTATTGCCTCTAGAATATGTCAGATAGTACGTTTAGAGGAGTATGGTACGTCCGAAGTACACCTTCGATTGGCGGGATGATGGAATAATTGGTGTTATTCCTGAAGTTGTCCCATCGGATGAGCTTTTCCACCACCAACCAAAGTTGAAGCAGGATT